ACAGACAGACAGACAGACAGACGTCGCCGTTTATATATAGTAGCATTATTCATTTACAGCCGAACCATTAAGCTGAGAGAGTAGAAGGGGCCCTGTGGCATAACGGATAGCGCACTGGCCCGGAAAGCGTGGGTGCGGGTTTGACTCCCGCCTGGGGCATGACTTCTGCACACAACACAGCATTCTTGTTATACTATTCACACTTTTTCTTATTTTTTCTCTTAGGGTATCGCTGACAAACTTGTAGAAGCACGGTCGTTTCTTCTCGAAGAGCTGTTCAACAAGTTTTCGGGCCCTCTTGATTTAGCTTCTTCTATACAGGTATAAAACGCTTTATAAGTCTGAAATCGAGCATTCATTGAGAGCTATCTTGTAACAAGCGAGAATATTTTTATTGCCACTAAAAATTTTGCTCAGTTTCCAGGTGGTGAATAATGTGCGCAAAATGCCTTATCTTACGCCTACACAACTACGTGCGTGTATTTTGCAACACAGGGACATGTATTTGGATAGACAGATACTCGATATAACGGTTATTTTTGTTTTTTTAAGCATAGATATTGTCGGCGTTTGAACTTTGAATGCATGTGAAGGGTTCGCGGTGTAGGTCATGCCTGAGTGTTGCTCAAAGTCGCTTAGACCATACACCAGTATCCTCTAAGGGTAGACCTTTGTTCATCATCGTATTTTGCAGAATCACCCTGAATTCGCTATTCGTGCTATTGAGATATATCGGGACTGCATGTATGACACACTTGTTCTATACCTGGCTGTGTTTCCTGAAAGTGAAACAGTTCGGAAGGATGTGAGTTGTGTTTGCAGTTTTTCAATAGAATTTTGGTTTGTGATGGTATGTTTCGAGCTTTCTCGCAAGACTGCGCTGCCGTGGTTAAGCTCGCTGTTTTCCCTAGCTCAAAGGAGTCCTCTATTTGTAAAGAGCTGGGAACTAACCATTCTTTTTTTGGTATGGAACCATAGTGTATTTGCAAACTACGTAGAGACACTTCAAGCCGCGTTTATACTCCACGACTCGAGCGAAGAACAGAATGCGTACCAAGGGAAAGTGTAGATCTCGATCTGGTATGTGGTGGGAGAGTTGGAGGATAGGGGAATCGCCAAACCGATGTTTCGGTGGAATGTACACCAACAAAGTAGATGGAAATCGACGGTCCTCATATACTCCCAATGTTGGTTCATTAATTCCTCCTGTTCTTGCAAGATGCTGGCTTTCGGCGCCGAACAATACCCATCCAGTTCTTTTTCAAGCATTCTCCTATTCTTCCTGGTAGCAATGTAATAACGCGATCCTGAGGTTACTCCTTGCGACATAGCTCTAGGGAAAGAATTAGTGGGTTGAATGTAATTGACAATAGATGAAGATTCCAGTGTTGATCATTCCCTTTTTTAATAAACGATGCGCACTGTACTTCCGCTGTGTGGTTTTTGGTTTCCAGCGGCTTCGTGAGTGTGATAGGGACTGTAAAATAACAGAGGAAGCCGACGTACTAGTCAGTGTTTTTATTTTCCTATGCGAAAGTGGTAAAATCCCACCTAACTTGAAAGGAT